TGCAAGGAAGATCGCATCCCTGATGGCCAGGTTCATGCCTTGCCCGCCTATAGGTGAGTGTATATGGGCTGCGTCGCCGACTAGAAAAATGGCGGCTCCGAGACGTGAGAAGATACGGTCTGCAATGGCGGAATGGGTTCTGAAACCTGTCGACCAGACCAGCTGGTCGACTTTCACAGGTTTCGGGTTAAGGGACGGATCCGATGATATACACGCTGGCCCGTATGCGTCGACCACGTTCTGGATATACTCTTTTGGTGGAGCACGGGGAGGTTCTCCGTTCTTTATGGGTATGGAACAAAGTATACGAAAGGTGGATTTCGTAGTGAGCTTTCCATCTCGCAACAGCTGGGCATTGAAGTGATTGCCAAATGGTAAAAAAATGAATAAATTGCCCGAAAAGACTTCGGCGTTAAGGTGGCCCTGGAGGGTGACTGGACCGACAGGTTCGGGCTCGAATGTGATATCCGCAGAGATCATTTGAGCCAACTCTTCATTGACTGTGTGTGGGCCTTCTGGGTCAGAGAACCCTATACCAGCGATGGTACGGACCTGGAAATGGTCGTCAGATATTCCACTAAGCTAAATTGGGGGGCATTGAGGTCTCACAATCGAGCGGGCGCCATCTGCGCCGATAACGTATCTAGCGCTGATAACTTGACCGTCTTCAAAGGACACATCAGTGACGCGAGAGTCCTTCTCATTCTGTTTCATTCCTACTACCCTGTGCGGACGCTGCACCTGCACACCAAGGCTCTGCAACTTCTGCATAAGTACAAGCTCGGTCACACATTGAGGGATGAAAAGCGCGTAAGGGTGTGCGGAATGTTTCTTTAGAGGGTCAAATTTGACCTCAAAGAGCTGCGAACTACGGGATAGGATTCTGATGCTCTTTCCCTTGATGCCTTGAGACAGTAACCCATCTGCGACATCGATGCTTGCTAAAGCCTAATATCACAAGAACATCAGTGGGCCTTCGTATGAATGCACGGGTAGCTTACCTCGATGGTTGCACAGTGTATGGCGACGGCCCTCGATGAGTTGGATCCTTCGTCTACGGCATCCACGATAACGAAGTCATGGCACCCGTTATGAACGAGAGCAAGAGCAGCTGTGAGACCTGCGGGGCCTGCACCAACAATAAGCACGGTCGTGTTCTCGGGGAGAGACATTGTCTGCTTGGAGGATTTTAAGAATGAGAATCAGTATGAGTGAGACGATGGATGAGCTTCACATGGCTCTTGCACCTATTATTTGAGGCCACCAATACACAGGTTATCTTAGTGATCCGTAGTAGTGAAGGATGATTTGGTATCGCGCACGGACTGCAACGGCCATCAGTAAACCGATGCAGTCCTTGATATTGTAGCCGTGCGAATTGTAGAAGGGTAGAACCGTTTGCCCCTGCTAAATATACCATAAGAATCTGATTTGCAGCTACATCATGATAGCCCGGAGATCTAAAGTAAGATGAGCAGTGACAACGAGGTTATGATGTTCTTCCATTGCAGCTGACGAGGGTGGTAAGCCTACTTATGCCAAATATTTTGGCGATTGTCATTTTGCCTTACTTAGTACTACGCTTTACTACAACTTCATCCATGACATTCTCGCGGGAGGTACCTTTGGCACTTGTCAACCAATGTAAGTAACAATGTCCTGACATGTGGCCGTGAAGAAGGGACGACAGCGCACACCCTGTTTCATGATTCTCGTTTTCCATCGTCTATGCATCGGATCAAACTACTATTTCACATCCCCATCGTAACTTTGTAAGAGCCTTTTGCGCATATCAACTAATCTAGAATAGCACTACAATTCGTAACAAAATCGCGACCTGTCACCATGGCATACTGGTATGTATTGTACTCTCGGCAGTGTTGATTGTTATTTTCCTCATCTTGCCAGGTCAGCGGCATCATGATGCACTTGAGACAATGACTCGTCACTCATCAGATGCATCAATGTCGGTCCCAGAGTTGTCCACTGTCCTCAAGGTCAGATCTGACAACAACTACTGGGCTGTGTCGAATCTAAAACACTGGTATGCTCGATTCATGCCACACTACTACTACACAGTGCATGCGACACCGTACTGAAAGGACAGTCCGATACGAGTCGTCCCAAGGACACATCTGACATCAAGAGAATGGTCACTGGGCTCAATTGCAAGGCGCACACTGGCAGTTTCCACACACAGTATCTTCTTGTCCAAATTGTAGGTATTCGCATCATACTAGTTCATTCGGTTGAGACTCTATTTACAGAATTGTGCTCGTTTAGTATGTCGAAGAATATAAAATCTAGGAGCCTGCATGAGCTTGAGCCAAACACTCGCCTCGATATCACATACCTATGTTTAATGTCTCACAGAGATCATCGTCCCCAAACCTCCTCACCAAGTCCGAACTAAGGCAATCTAGATTTCAAGTTCCGATTCAACTTTGTTGATCCATGCCATTTCTCACGCGACTACTTATCTTTTGACCTCATATCAAGGAACATGTTACACATATCATTAGGCGCAGCTTACTGCGACAGTTGGCTTGGCCATGATTTTGTTCTAGCGCACATTAATGGCGAGGCATCTCAGACTTACATGCAGTATCTCCCCGCGGCCCATAGTCTCTTAAGGTGAACTTGAAGTCTAGACAATGCTTGGTCCAGGTCATCCAGACATGCCCTATCACTGTGCGACGCTTCTGATTGATCCTGTACCACTCTCAATGATGCTACTTTGATATCTCATGACGTTTTTTTCTCATTTGTTACTTCCTTGTAGCACCTGCGATTTGCCCAGTGACCCTACCAGTGCGCATGCGGCATAATGAAGTATCTTTCATGATTTGATACTCATACTCATTCTTAACACGCGCTTGGTTAAATATCCCTGGTACTTGTCGTGGTCCAGCATCCGCAGCTCCCTCTGAAGTTTTAGGCGATCACAACGATATCAAGTTAGTCTATGGCACACCCCGATGATTCTCTACTTCCTCGGAGACAAAGAATGGCGTTGAAAAAATCAGTGACCATCAGTTAACGCTCCTCTTCCTCTTCCTCATCAACTGTCCCTTGTACCCCATCCAACACCTGCTCTGTAATGAGAACCACTCCAGAGCTCCTATGCTACCCTTCGATATCAAGTGCCGCGCAATCATTGACATTAGTCCTCTTTATCTCTACCTTTGTCGCAGCCTTTTCATCATACTGCGCACTCCTGTATGACATTGAGTTTCAACGTCTGTCATGAATCATGATCGGCAACGAAGTGACATCTCATTGGCTCTATCAGAGAGTGATCCGCGAGCTAGCCTTCAAGGCCAACGTCAGACGAACAGATTCAAGCTGCTTGGTACGTTCCATGTGCATGTTCGTATATATTCCTAATATTATTATCGACAGCAATGATTGCTCGTTTCGACAGGCTCTCGAACTCCAACTGATTGGACCACGAGCAAGACTAGGCACAGTCGATCATTTTTAGATAAGTTCGAACATTCCACATGGCTGGAACAGGACGAAAATTTGTCCAAACACAACTATACTGATTGGCTCCGACCTAGGTATTGCACTATCAACCATGATACCAAAGCATAAGGAGAGATGATGTATTGTCGCAACATGCCACTCAAGCTGCCGGCTCAGGAAGGGGTGTGTATGAGTTAATTGGTGGCGGTACGTAGCACGGGACACGACACAGGTTGCAAATGATCAAGCACTGCAGGCAAAAACCAGAATATCATTTGGATTTTCGTTGTGTCACAAGTTAGATGTGCAGGAGATAGATACACATGAGCGGTTTAGACAGGCCGTACATAGAAGATCATTCATTTTCTCTATATGCCATGGACAAGACCAATTCCGGAAACCATGTCTGTCCACATCCTCTGCAGCTACCAAGGCTCTTCATTTGAGCCATACATCCTAGGATGTCCCCCTCTTCATCTTGATCGCTGTCCTACTCAATCTCCTCGATACCGCTGTCGGCTGCATGCAATCAGTACAAAGACATGCTGTGAAATTGCTTAGAGTGAAGCCACGCACTGTCTATTAGTGTAACGAAAGAGTTAGATTCATTATGTATCACAAAAGACAAGATTGCATACCATGTGAGGACGCTACATGATCTAGTCCGTGGTACTTGGCCGGGGTGTCCATATCCTCTGCAGCTACCAAGGCCCTTCATCTGAGCCATCTATTCCATCCCCTTGATCACTGTCATACTCAATCTCCTCGATGCCGCTGTATGCTGCATGCAATCAGTACAAAGACATGCTATGAAATTGCTTAATGTAGAGGCACGCACTGTCTATTAGTGTAATGAAAGAGTTAGTATTCATGATGTATCACCAAAGACAAGATCACATACCATGTGAGGACGCTACATGATCTAGTCCGTGGTACTTGGCCGGGGTCTCACGAACACGGCGTAAAAATTCATCCTGGTCGTGTGAGGGTCAACGAGCGGTAACAAGTTCAGCAGAGGAAATCACGCACTTCCTGAGAGGGAACATGGCCGTGGCACGATCAGTGTCGCCTAAGAAGGTCGAAAGACCAGATCACGCACTTCCTGAGAGCGGAACATGGCCGTGGCACCGTCAGCGTCGCCTAAGAAGGTCGAAAGACCACATCACGCACAGACTGAGAGCAGGACATGGCCGTGGCACGATCAGCGTTGCCCAAGAAGGTCGAAACACCAGATCACGCACAGACTGAGAGCGGGACATGGCCGTGGCACGATCAGCGTTGCCCAAGAAGGTCGAAACACCAGATCACGCACAGACTGAGAGCGGGACATGGCCGTGGCACGGTAAGCGTTGCCTAAGAAGGTCAAAAGACCAGATCACGCACCAACTGAGAGCGGGACATGTCCGTGGCACGGTCAGTGTCGCCTAAGAAGGTCGAAAGACCAGATCACGCACAGACTGAGAGCGGGAGGTACATCGTGATCTCAGCTCAAGATTGCTAGCGAAGTACCAGGATGACATACAATTTGCTGGACATGAAAGTTGCGAACAAGAAGCGTTTCTGCGTCAGTCTTGTGGTTGGAGTCACTGTGAGGGGATCGTTTTCTCGGGTTCGTCAAGCTACGGGTGATCTGGAAGCATCGTTTGCATTCTCGACTTCTCATCGTTAGGCATCATCAGGACCTAGAAAACAAACATACTCACCATTCAGTCGAGCAAACAGTCCGCCCTCGAGACTCATATTTCACAGATCTGGCACCAAGGCGATTCACAGCGCCGCAGAAATGACATCGATAGTCGACTCCAGATAGTGATGACGTCTCCTGTTGAATGGTAACCCTCATCACAATCTTCGTGCCTGGTTCAATGCTCGACCATTTGTGGCTTGTAAGTGGGGTCACTTTCTTGCCCTCGTCGATGCACAAATCGTACTTTCCTTCTTCTATATATCGTCTTTGAATTTGGGCTTCGACCGCATCGCGTTCAAACAGAACTCGGAGCATGCAATTGAGTTGCTGAAGACAATTTGACGAGTAAGCTTCCACAAGAACGATTTTTAGGCCAGCGAGCGGACCTGATATGAGGTGCACCAGTTCACTGATATTGCTTGGTGGCGGCCTGTTGCGTCTACTAGTGTCACGCAGCCAGGCGCGATGCTTCCGGATAAAGGCAATACAGATAGTGCTGCGAAGGACTGTTCGATGTTCTGAAGATCCTCCTCCCGCCTCCGTGAAATTATAAGCAGTTCGCGTGTTTCCCGTTGACTTTGCATTTGGGACGACCACTGACCATAGAGTAGTGAGCAAATGCAAGCATCTCTAGGGGGTAGAACACAACCAAACACTCCATCAGATAACGGTCGATGTCAGTCGAGCATCCGGTGATAGCCTGTGTGACAGATGTGTATGCTAGGCGACGTTTTCGCAACTTTTTCAGGCGGACTGAGGTGTCTTCCAGCTTTCTGAGTGCGATTCAGTGTCGAGTAAATTAAATCACACATTCATGATAGATTTACCTAACTAAAAGGTCTCTCCGAGAATGTTCAAGAGGATCCAGGGCAGGTGGGGCGTTGCACAAATGGCAGTATAGTCGATAGAGACGCGATGTTAGGTCATCCAAGGCCGCCTTGTTTCTATTGAATGTCTGTGATAGCCGTTCAAATCCAGAAATATATCAGCATTCGATAATCATTCACATCTATAACTTGAAAGATTCCCAACAATCCGCCAATAGCTGCGTGCATCGGAGTACCAGCAACTGGAATTACACCCGTAAAAGCCTGTACCAAGGGCAAAGCTACGTGAGCGATGTCAGAAGCTTCGTGGGCAGGGGATGCACCCCAAGGGTACGGTGTGGAAGGAGAGCCGGGGAAAAGTTCTTCGAGACCTGGTTCACTGCCTGCAGTAACGGGATGCATTGACGAAGAATTTGAAGAGAGCATTGGTGCAGGAAGCTATGGGGCTGCTAGCTGTGCAGTGTGCACAGCACAACCCTAGACTCTATAGTGCCACTATCTGCCAATCAAAGCCAGGAACAAGAGTTTCACGCAAAGTTCGCGAGTGTCAGATCAGCGTGACTCGACTTGCAAAGTGCCCAAGGCCGACGATCGTGATTATGTAATTGATTCTTGAACTCCGCGATCGGCAAGCAATTTGCAACGGCCAACTCTAGTAATTGTGCATTCGTTCGAGAGTCGAGACTCTGTTTGCAGAATTTATCCAGGCTCCTTCCCAGCCCCACGGTTCGAGTGTGAAGGGGCGATATCTGATGGCATTGTCGGTACTGTTTCATAAGTCACATGATACAAGAAAAATTCAAACCCAGCACAACCTTATTCCCCCTCACACTCTCACCGGGGGCTGGAAGATAACATTTGTAAACAAAGGTCAGCCACAGTGACGGTGACCGTGAAACTTCGAAAATATGAGTTTGCACCTAGCGTAGGGTTACAAAATTTCGAATATGATATGTATTTTTTACCCCCGGCTATTGTTACACCCGTTGTTATACAGATGACAGCTCCTAATCTGCGTGAGACTCCTGCATTATCTGAAATCTATCTAAAGACCCAGGAGAAATTCGGTGTCTGCCCTTGTCTGTGGCAGCTGAAAGTAGCGCATGCTCTCCTCAAAGGCGACCAGGATGTCCTATGCATTGCAGGCACAGGGATGGGTAAGACCCTTGGCTTCTGGATTCCATTGCTGTTTCGCATCAATAGCATCTAGCTCGTCGTCACTCCACTGAACCTACTGGGAAAACAAAATGCATTATCTCTTGCGAAGGCCGGCATCCGGGCCATTGCTATCAATGCAGAAACTGCTAGCGCTGCAAACTTCTCGGTCCATATTACTTTGAAACGCTATGAAATGTTACCACTCACATGATATTAGGCAATTAAAGCCTTAAAGTACCGCGCTGTTGCAGTCAGTCCTGAACAAATCATGAAACCAAACAGCGATTTTGAAAAGCTTCTGAAGGACCCATTGTTCGCTTCTTACCTTGTAGGTATCATCATTGATGAAGCCCACTGTATCATGGAATGGGGCGAGTTCTGTCCAGAATACCGAGAATTGGGCCGCCTTCGTTACATCTTACCAGCAACTGTATCAATCATGATCGCTTCCGCTACCCTCACGAAAGCCTCCTTGACACATACCACCTGGCTTCTTCACATGCACGCTGACAAAATGGTCACCATACGTCGCTCAAGTGACCGCCCAAACATTAAAATTGGAGTCAGAAAAATTAAGTACGCACTCAATAGCTATTGCGATCTTGCTTTCCTCATCCCGACGGGCTGGAAGGATGGTAACCCCCCCCCCCCCCACCAAAGTTCTTAATATTTTTCGACAGCATTCCAGATGCTATCAATGCAACTCGATACCTGCGCAAACGCTTACCTCCGGATATGCAAGATAAAATTAAGTGGTTCAACGCGGTGTAGAAACAACAATACAGAGAGGAACAAATAATAGCTCCTAACTGTATCTAAAAATGTTGTAGGTCGAGTGTTGCCTAGTCTGCGTTACCTGAGGAGACAAGTGCGTTCGACCCTAAAGGGGAAGCAGGTGCAGCAAGGTCTAGAGGTATGCGCGAGAACGTGAAGCGCGAGAAAGCGCAGGTGCGCGCAAGGTACGAAGGCGTGGGAACGCGCGCGCGTATTAGCGCGAAGCGCGGGAAAGGCGCGCGCGCGAGGCGCGAAATAAGAGAGACTAAACTTAAGTGATGATATGATACAAGATAAGAGAAGAGTGATGCAAAGTGTAGACCAATAGACTTCTACTATGTTCTGCTAAGTAAATAGTGGGTGGTAACTAGTAATTGGGAGGTAAAAGTTAGGTTTGAAAGGTAAGTAAGTAATAGTATGTACTGCTGGCGCTTATATAGCGCGCCTAAGCGTGGTCATGCGGAGCCGAAGCGCTACCGAGTAGGTATGTAAAGATATATATAAGTGAGAATTCATGATAAAAATAAAGGTGGAATGATATGCTAATAAAAGAAATGGAAATATACGCACTAGAGGGCTTGGTGGACAGTGGATGGATGCTTCTGGATGGCTGGCGCTATAGGGCACGCAAGCGCGGGAACGCGCGCGCGCGTATACATCGCGAAGCGCGGGAATGGTGCGCGCATGGCGCGCGTTGCGCGGGAAAGCTGCGCCTCATATAGGAATTGCTGTGGACAGTACACAGAGTGGTGCTGCGAGTTGGTGCTGTATACTCCCTTAGTGGAAACTGCCATATCACGCCATGAGAGGCATGAGTCTCTACATCTCCCAGGGACTTTAAATTCTGAGTGTCCCCACTCAGCGCGCGTGTGGTGAGGATGTCGAGTGATAGTATGCGCGTGCGATGCATGTACAATGCTTGGGTTGTTGGGCGATGAATGCGCGAGTGCAGGAATTATTGCGCGAGGTGCAAAGCACGGGAAGGTGCAGGTGCGCGTAAGGTGCAAAGGCGTGGGAAGTTGCGCGCATGGCGCGCGCGAGGCGCGAGAATGTGCGTGCGCTATGCGTGAAGGCGCAGGAATGAAGCGTAGCATGGTGGATTGTGAGGGTGACTTCTGGTGTGAATAGTGTTCCATGGGTGTGAGGTGATGATGCAAGGGTGATATGGATGTGGTGCGCGAAGCGTGAGCGAGATGCGCATGTACAGCGTGAAGCGCGGGAAAGCGCGCGCGCACAAGGCACGAGAAAGCGCATGAGTGTCGCGTGTTTTGTATTGTGCGTATGATACGAAGTGGCGTGGTCCAAGAGCGATCCAATCCATGTCCAGACCAAGTCCTGCTAGGCGCGCTAAATATTAGGTGGTAAGGTTTGAACAGTGTGAGTAAAACTATATGTGAAAATGCGAAGGAAAAAATGGTAAACTTTGCGGATGTCCTATCCGACTTGTCTTCTTCGTGCGGCTGTCAACATCTACACCTTCTTATGAGCGAGGCGCGAGAAGTGCGCATGTGCGCGTGCGCGCGAGGTGTATGGGCGCGGGAGGTTTGCGCATATGTGCGCGTGAGCGTGGGAAGACTGCGCGCATATGTGCGTGTTCTAAGGTAAAAAGGGCATGGTGCCGCGTCATGTGTGCGAAGAGAAAATAATACTATTGAGCTAGGCGGGCACAATCTAAGGTTGTTTTCTTGTTTTTGGCGACTCCTATGTGTATATATCAGTAAGTTATTAGTTCTTTGGATGGCGTTATGATGAGAGAAAATAAAATGAAAGAGCGCTGGACGAAACCCAGGGTAAAACGAATGGTATCCTATGAAACAGCGATGGTATACGTTGTTCTTTGATGCGCAGCTGAGGCGCTTGATCCTCCTCCTTGAGCGCGTGTGAGTGCGCGTAATAGCGCACTTCGCGTCTCTTGCGAGCTAACGCGTTACCCAAGGTAGGGTTGGAATGTGTGAGGCTGGCGCGCTTGGGTGGGCTTGTGACTGGCAGAATGAATTCCTGCACAACACGCTGCAGGTTGAAGGCGCGCCAATGGAAGGCGCTGCAAGGGGTGTAGGGGCGCCCTACAAGCTGATAGGATGCGTGCGATGTGCGCGCCTTGAAGCGATTTCGCGCGAATTTGATTATATTGGCCGAACATGCGAGGAACGGCCATTTCTCTGCAAATGGATTAGCAAGAGACATGTATAGCGTGGAATTAGGCGCAAATGTTGCGCGAATGGGCTGTAAGGGTGGTATATCAAGGCGCAGTAGGCGCATAGGTGAAAGATAATAGTGCGCATCAAGGTGTGCAGGAACAAAATTGACATGGTAAGCAAAAGCACGAAAAACGCGAATAAATGTGGAAATTGCGAAGTTAAAGATGATGATAGGGGGGTTAGGCGCGTATGTATGTGTCAGGCGCGCGCCTAAGTCGCGCCTGAATGGCTGATTAGAATATATTTTGTGTTGAATGAAAGAATTGTGATTTAAAAGGGGAGAAGTGATAGAAACGCGATAGTGCGAAGACTCTGCCTGAATTATGAATACGCAAGGCGCGGGAATGCGCGCGCGTATTGCGCGATGTGCGTAATCATGGCGCGTGAACAAGGGGTGGTGCGAAGATGAACCTAAAGTGTTTGGAAGCGTCATATAGCTCCTTAAGAGCTTTAAACATGAAAGAGACAAAAAACGCGAAACAAGATGAGGAAAAATATACTGCGCCTCTAGGCGCGCGCATTGCGCGTCCTCAGGTGCAATATGGTGCGCCTGAGTCGCGCCAGGGTCGCCTGAGACATGCTCTGCTTGGTGGTTAGATGGCGTGATGCACGGATGCTTTACCGGCATGCGATAGTCACTGGAAGCAAAAAGTGCGATGTGCGCGTGATCGCGAGTGACATCTGGAATTTCCAGAGACAAACTCTGGTTGATGCAAGGTGCGACTTGAGCCTCTGATGCGGCAGAAGGCTCCTCTATAGGCGCACCAAGGTGCAATGGATGTTTAGGGTCATCCCTGACCTCTGATGATGCGAGCGGTGGTAGCGGTGATGGTGATGGCATGATTGGCGAGATTTCTTCCTTAAGTGTTGCGATAGCGAGGGGCGAGCGTGTTTCTAGCGGTGCGTTAGTGTGCAATAGATGATTAGAGTCATCCCTGACTACTGGTGATTCGATAGCGGTAGGCGCATGCGATGCGTTAGCAATAGGCGCGCGTGTTTCAACTGGCGCATTAGTGTGCAATAGATGATTATAGTCATCCCTGACTACTGATGCTGTGATTGGTGATGATGATGCGGATAATGATGGAGATGGTGAAGGAGATGGTGCTGATGATGAAGGTGAAGAGGCGCCTGCAGCGCGCTTTGCGAGCGCGCGCTCGAGTTCGTGATCTAAAGTGATGCATTCTGGTATACCTTTGTATGCTGGCGCAGTTGATGGTTGAGGTGCGCGTGATTCGCGCGATGGCGCGGGAAAGGCGCGCGCGTGAGGCGCTGACCTGCACCAAACTGGTTCGGTGCATGGATGACTAATGCTCTCCCATGAGCCTAATACCCTAGAAATCACTACGAAACCATTTCCCTCTATTCTAAAGCCAGAATGCAGCTCAGACAAATATTTCATTTCATCTTTTCAATGGAACTCGGACAGGCTGAATATTTTTGTATATTTAATTCTGCGATGAATTTTGCTTAGTCATCCTCAACAATGACTCAGGCTGAATCCCACACATGCCAGGTGACTGTGAAAAATAGTTCTCGCATGGGTTACCCTGGGAAAACTTCCTCAAAACCCTAAATACTTGCCTCACGTCATTTTCTCATTCAACAAAGTGACATCAGAACGGAACACCAATGATCATGAATATTTCTCTTGCAGTGCACAATCAGCCTGTCACATGACCCTTCAGTCACATGATGCTAAATCACATGATCTTAAGTCAGGTGACTTTTGATCCAAATCAAGTGATGACAGAACACTCAGCCCAAGCATGCTGACTAATGCTGACTAATTATGGTCTCATTTGGTGCAACATAAGCAGCCCCTGCAAAATGATTTTTGGTACCGCTGACTAAGCTCACCCCTCATAGATGGCGGGAAAATGTAGCACAGCCACCCTTTTTTTTGTCTATAAGACCCAAATTTTTGCCCAAAGAAAAGAGCTTTTTAGCCCCACTTTCGGAATAAAATTGTGTGTGAAGTGTGATCATTGTCAACAACAGTGACCAGGGCTGTCAAGTACCTTCAGCAAAGTCATTGTAACCAGTAGTCAGCCAGCAACTTTCAGTAACCAGCAAGCCCCTAAGCTCATCAGCATCAACATTCAGCAACACCCTTAGCTCATCACCACTAACGACGACCAAGACCTTGAGCTCACTGTGCTCAACAACCGACAGAACTTTTTTTTGATTTTTCTTCTTTGATTTTCTAGTTTTCTTCTGTCTCTTTTTCTCTTTCTTTTCTTTCGTTCTTTCTTTCTTTCTTTCTTTCTTTGTCTTTCTTTTCTGTCACTCTTTTGTTTTTTTTCTCTTTCTTTTTTTTTCATTCTTTCGCTCTTTCTCTCTCTTCTCTCTCTCTGTGATCCTCTCTCTTTCTTCTCTTTCAAGTTTCAGTGCTAAGCTTTCATTCATATTTTCAGAAGCTTTTGTGTTGTCTCTTTCGTCCATCTAGACTCCGAATAGTTTAGTGGGGAGACTTTAGGGATTGACAGTAACACTTGACCTCGCTCATCTGAGTAGTGATACTGAGCCAGGATCTTCCTTGTCTGCTAGACTTTAGTTGTTGAATAGGGGACTTGGTACTGAAACCAAGGACGTCCGTTCCTGATTCTGTTTAATACTCATCGTGAGTTCCTTGGCAGCAGGTTCAACAGTGAGCTAAGAGTTCTACTGAGCATTGATTAGTCTTGACCTTTGATTCTACCTGTTTGTGCTGAGGGGGTTGATTGCTGTAATTCCACACAACTCTTTCGAGATACGATTGTTACAAGGCATTGTTGTTGAAGGAAGGTTTGAAGAGGTGTCTTTTTTTTCTTTGTTTCTTTTTGTCATCACCATACCGTTGGATTGACTAGTTTTCTTTCGTCTTTCAATCACTGCCATACCGTTGGAGTGATTTCATTTCAGTTTCGTTTTTGTTGGATTGACTGCATTGTTGCTGACCTTACAGAAGTACTGAGGTCTGACATAGCTTGGGAAGTGTAAACAGCCACCCACGAACGACCACGTTATCAGCCATTGGTATTTGTCTGAATCGCTGACCGTGGAGATATTTGTTTTTATAGGTGTTTATCTATAGATCATCTATCTAAGAAGACAGCGCGTGAATAGGAACTGGTGGCCTTTTGTCAAGTACAGCTTCTGAGGGTGCGCGATAGAAGAGTCCAGCTGTTGCATTAGCGCTAATGGTCGTATCCTGCGTTGCGCGACTCGTGTGGTATTGATCTTTGTACTTAGCCACTTTAGCTTGCACTGGCGCAGTTGCTGTGACTAAGGTGGCAATTGGTGCTACTATGGGCGCGCTAACTGGCGCGCTTGGCGCGGGAAAAGCGCGCGCAGGTAATAGGAACTGCGCAGCTGCGAAGACGTCCATGAATGGGTATGGGTCATATGGGTGGTGGTCAGGGAACTTGATCATAAGGTGCAAGCGGATTTGCGCCTGAGCATCGCTAGGGATTCCTTCCATGAATAAGTGGTCGCGTTCGGCCTTTCCAATACGGTCTTCGTCTATGAGTGGCTGCATAATCTTCCTGAATGTGCGCAGGTAATTGCTTAATTCTGTGCAAGAGAGCATTGGTTTGTTAGCGTATTCGCGCGCAATGGCGCGCAAGTCCGCGAGCGCATAGCGTCTTTTACCATCCCATCCAGGATACATTACCTTCACCTCATCTAAAAAGGCGCTGTAATTATCTACTGCCGCTTCTGGCATGCCTCCCCATAGTTCTTGATCATCGCGCGCAAGGTAGCGGATGATACCTCTGATGCGGTCGAGTCCTTGGAGTCCTGCTTCATCAGCAAGCTGCTCATATGTGTCAATAAATTCGGCGAGGTTGTCTGTAGTGCCGTCGAACTTGGGCGCATTTGCTGTGCCGCGGATGGGCAATCTATAAGGCATTGAGGCGCACGCGAGGCATATAACAGGTGCGCGCGTGAGGCGCAGAGGCGTGGGAAAGCACGCGCACAAGGCGCGAGAATGCGTGACTAGAAATTGGTTAGCTTTTGAAATACAAAGAGATTGACCTGTATGTGTTAAGATGCGTAAACTAGATCTTGCTGACTGCTCCCCTCGCGGTGGGCTCCAGTTGTAGAAACAACAATACTGAGAGAAACAAAGAAATGCTCCTGACTGTATCTAAAAAGTTGTAGGTCGTGCGTTGCCTAGTCTGCGATACTTGAGATGGCAAGTGCATTCGACCCTAAAGGGGAAGCAGGTGCAGCGGAGATCTAGAGGTACGCGCTTCAGCGAAGCGCGAGAAAGCGCAGGTGCGCGCAAGGTACGAAGGCGCGGGAACGCGCGCGCGTATTAGCGCGAAGCGCGGGAAAGCGCGCGCGTGTAAGCGGAAATAAGAGAGACTAAACTTATGTGAAGATATAAGCAAGATAAAGGATGTGAGATGTGTTGTGCTAATGAATAGATTTCTACTGCGACTTTCTAAGTAGAAAGTACTAGGTAAAGTTGGGTGAAAAGTAAGGTAAATAATAGTATGTACTGCTGGCGCTTATATAGCGCGCCTAAGCGCGCTCCTGCGGAGCCGAAGCGCTACCGAGTAGGTATGTAAAAATATATATGAGTGAGAAACTATGATAAAAATAAAGGTGGAACTATGCTAATAAAGGAAATGGAAATATACGCACTAGGGAGCTTGGTGGACAGTGGATGGATGCATCTGGATGGCTGGCGCTATAGGGCGCGCAAGCGCAGGAACGCGCGCGCGCGTATACATCGTGAAGCGCGGGAATGGTGCGCGCATGGCGCGCGTTGCGCGGGAGAGCTGCGCGTCATATAGGAATCACTGTGGATGGTACACAGAGTGATGCTGCGAGTTGGTGCTGTATACTCCCTAGTGTAAAGCGCCATATCACACTATGAGATGCACGAGTCTCTACAGCGGACATGACAGGAGAGTACAAAGATACTGAGCTCATAAACCTCATATCAGGAGAAACATGGGGCTACTGCACAACGGATTCCTTCGGAATGGTAAGCATGTTCCACCAGACTAGGATTCATAAATGACCTTACCAATCAGGGAATGGACGTTCCTGATATCATGCTTATTATCCAATGGCGAGCAATGTGCAAGCTGACGACTCTTTGGCAACGGTTTGGATGTGCAGTACGAGATAGAAGCCTTCAAGGTACAGCATTGCTATTCGCGGAGAAGGAGTACTTTGACGATGAACGACAGGCTAAAGCAGCAAGGAAAAAGATGCGGGAGACAAATCAGAAGAGAAAGGGTGATAGCTTACCTATCGCATCACTTTCGAAGCGGCGTGCCGTGAATACACCGAATTCTCGGGTGGCTGGTTCCCATGCACAGCCGACTGCCAGCGTTGGTGATCATGGTGATGGGTCTGATGGATCTGACGAGGATACTCCTCCAATGGACGAGAGCCTGCAGGGATTAAAGGATTTAGTGAAGGGTGATGTGGAAGCACCAAAATATACAGGAAGGCGACAAAAATCAAGTCTTGACACGGCAATGGATTATTTGATTAATGCGGAGAAACGTGATAGCTTAATGTGCTGCAGGAAGGTGTTTGATGTTAGCTTTGATAATGATGCTGCTGGTGAGAAAGTCATAATTGTGTGATGTGACAACACATACTTACTTGTGCCAGATTCTGATCATCTCGACTGCAACAAACAAGAGCCCTTGGGTTGCAAATGGTGCTCCATTACTCAACCAACCATTTGCTGTGATATCCACCACCCCGAACATTTTTCTCAGTATGCTTCCCACATTGAAAAGCCGGCAACCATGCCACAGTGTTCCTGCATTCCCAGGTACCAGAAGACAGCGCACGACTTTGCTCTACAAGAGGCACTGGATGATTGGCGGGAACAGAAGACAGCATCTGCCTATGGTTGGCACCACCTCAATGACCTTGGCCCTTCCCTCATCTTGCCAAATGCCATCTTGGATCGGATCCTTGACTGCGCACATCACCATAAGGTTCAGAGCGTCTATGATCTCAAACGGGAGACTGGTTGGACAGATGCAGAAGATTTTGGGGAGGAAGTCATCACTCTCATCAAAAAACATGCGGCGCCGCTTCCCTCACCATTTGTGATCACACCACTGAGATCTATATCTACCGCTTCCTTGCCCAATGTGCCCCCCACCCAGTCGTCTTCTAATGTGGTGGTTGCTGCTGTCGAACGACGAAAGAACTGGTGTAGCGCATGTGGCCTTGAAGGGCATAATGGTGAGATTCATCGATTTCAGACAACTCTCGTCACGCTAACATTTTTCACTAGCCCGCAATTGTGTGTGCGAGCAACACCCATCTCGCTCAGGACAGAATAAGGAGAACACAACAACCATCATGATGAATCGATGATGTCAGTTCAACACCTCTGGCACAAATCGATGATGTCGGTTCAACACCTACTCGGACTTCTTACATTAGTTCTATCAATATGTCCTCCATTTCTGCCCCTTCTCCTCGAACTTCCATCTCTGCATTAGATTCATCGTTACCCTCTCCCCAAGCTGCTTTTTCCATCATCATCTCTCTCCCTTTGTCGACAAGATCAGGAATCTCACAACACATTTTTCTACCTAGCACCACGGTATGGGGGGATTGCGCTACCATCTTGTTAGATAGCCCTTGAAATGACTTTATCATGTTCGGGGCGGCATGATCTGTGGTAAGGTGGGCGTGCAGGAAATTTTTCTGCACAATGGCTTGAGTGTTTCGATAGGCCTGGACAAGAGGCAATTCAATGAAAATTCGCTCTACGGTACGGTTTGATCCCGTCCCGCCATTCTTCACCTGCATGGTGTCAAGTACACAACTAACCCAACAGCTCAGTGGGCGCACCTTGGTAAACAGGTTGTTGAGCTCAACACACCAATCCACTGCGCCATTTCATTGGCTTTCCAGTTGGGTTGACGAGTATGTGGTAACGCACAGCGTGTCTGGTACAATATCAGCATTCAATGAAAATCAGCATATGAATCCACGTACTTCAGGCCAGCAGGGAAAACAAAGTGTGTATTGATTAGAAAATTCGTCATATGAGTGGCATACTTATGTTTTCCTGTTGCCTTAAGGATTGGGATCCATGCAACTATGGACGTCTCGACTCGCCCAATGTCCCCATGATTCATCGAGTAAGATAGCTCCTCATAGAGGAGGAAGTATTTGTTGAGTAGGAGTGCATTTTCATACTGCATATCACGCTGTTCTCGAGTCTTATGGCACGTCCGCAGCAGCTTGTGATTTGCCACCCAATTGAGTGCGATCTCATTAGCAGTACTCTTCAACTTCTCAAGGTCCGGTTTGGACGCTGCAAAAGCATCAAGGCTTGTATAACTTGGGTCCATACCCACCACATGAACACACCACCAATCAAGACGCCAACATATGCCAGCATGGCCAATGAGTTGGTGCATCCACCTAAAACCAGGCTTCGAGCAATATATTCCTGTCTCCTTGGGTCGCAATTGTGTTACGTCGCGCATTAGACTTGTTTCATCCTCTCTGGCTGCTAATGGCTGCAGGAAGGCTCTCCAAATAGCATCAGCACATGCCATCTTCAAGTGGAACAATCCCGGAATGAAGACAACATGCTGGAAGCGGTTCCATGGGGTTGCCTCCACTGACTGTCGAAGCTGTGCGGCCTGCAATCGTTCCCCTGTGCCCAGGTCACCGTGAATCAAGATGATATATTGCGAGATGTTGGGATTGTCAGGAATGTTGGTGTCGGTGGGATTGTGTACACCACCTTGGGCAAGTAGTTCCACGACTGCACGAATATTCCTGCTGACAGTTGAATTGTTGATGTCCATCGCACGTGCAGCTGTGATTGACGTTTTGACTAATGGTATCTCCTCTACAGCGTCCAGCTCAGGAATCTCGGATTGAAATTGATGAAAATACTCAGGCCCATGTTCACATAAATCCAACAGGAACATCCGCGTGTTGAATTGATCGCGCCAAGAGAGATGCGGTGTGGAATTGTCCTTGGATTCTGGGTGGATGCATAAAAGATCTTTCCATGATCTTTTCGGAGGTAGCGTTGAGAGCTGCACATGGGAATTTAACGCTGATTGTCTCCATAGCTCTTCGGAACATTTTAAGTCATCTGCAGTAACACCATGCTGCAATGGGAACAGCAAACCGGAGGTGAGATGCTTTAACGAGTCATTTGACTTCTCAGCAAGAGGAACTTGAGATTTCAGATCAACATCGAAGTTGTCGTATGCATACGAGGCAAGGAGTGATTTTCCTAGGGTTTGGAGAGTATTCTGTGACTCTGTTGACAATGATTGGATTGCGGCATTGATTGAGTCTGTAGATATTGAGATTCCGATGCGTGCAAGTGTATCGATCACCTTCTGGGGTGTGTGTGTCGACTGTAAGAATATGCCGAGTATACTTTGCAAGGCATTTGATCTATGATTCATGCTTTGCATCAAAATACCAAGTATGATGACACATTTCTAATTTTCATTTGTTCAGATACATCAAAAATATGTGCGCAATGCTTACTATCATGATGACTGCAGATTGCCGCATGGTTTGTTTTGTCATAGTATGTGCATCAAGATCTAAGTCGTCTACATCACCCCAATAGTCATCCTCTTCATCATATACCTCAGAGCTAGTCCATTGCAAGCTGCCCATCATAATATCTCCATCGGCATCTTTCATGTCTTCGAATGAAGATGAACTATCGGCCCCTAGCAAAAGCCCAAACAAATCCCATAGTGCAGGTGCACGAGACTGCATTTCAGTTCCCATTTCCTCGATGCTAAACTCCTCCAGCTGGTGTGTAGTTGCATGCGAGGGTCCAAAATGCCAGCCCACTTCTTCAGATGAGATCAATTTAATCTCTGTGATGTATTGCTGTCTCAGAGCATCATGGTTTGCAGTGGGTTGTGACTTGTTGTCTTGACGAGAAGGATGCTTATTCAAAGCTTCAATAATTTCATCAGAACGGACAAGAAGATCTTCAGCAAGATGATGTCCATGATATTTTTGGCACCTAAGAATTGATATGATGGATTGAGAAGCACTCAGGTTGCACTCTTGTAGCATTGCAATCACTGTGTCCATAGTATAACAACAGGTGTAACAATAGCCGGGGATAAAAAATACATATCATATTCGAAATTTTGTAACCCTACGCTAGGTGCAAACTCATATTTTCGAAGTTTCACGGTCACTAGTGTCGTGGGCAGAAGTAAATTAGCCTCTCGGCAGTTGGCAGAATGGCAGAAGTCGGCAAAATGTATTGTGTGTTTTTAGCTCTTTTCAGCTATGTTTATACTATGGCAAAAATAGTTTCAACTACTACATTGAGGCTATGCCTTCTGACGTCAAAAGTGCATCAACATTCCACCCTGATACATCATTTGAGCTTCGATTGAGTACCTCAGTCTCTTTAACGAAGCCAGTTGGTGTGATACCTTTGTTAACCCTTTCTAGCTCACTCCAGTCAACGAGGCCGCCATCCAGAACATCCGGCACATCACCTGCAAACAAACTACCGCTTGCCTCATCATTTTCTCGCGCTTGGCCAGCCTCCCGCGTCTCGCGCTCGAATCTTTCAAATCCATCCACCAACTCCTCATCTGTAATTGATTCCGGACCCGCAAGATAATCCTGGTCATCAGAGTCTGTTGCGAGGGGAGGGATCCATGCAAATGATCTTTGTAGCTCGTCAGCGAGAGCAATGTCGAGTCCATTTTTTTGTAGCAAGGTAGCCATGAACTTCTGCGCGAGTACGATCAGGGGCATTGGGACATGTTTTTTGATTAATTAAATGTTTGAGATGGTTATCATCACGGCCCTCAATGGATGCCGAGCAGTAGTTGCATGACTCATGTGAAGAAGTAGCGGTTTGAGTTGTTTTTGACTTTCTCCCCAATAACAGAGTGGTCAGACACAAGTTTTTGGACGGGACAGCCCTTGGACTTTGAGGCCATGGTAACAACCACCAAGATACATTCTAAGTTTTCTAACATATGTCAAATTTTTACTGTTTGTTAGTCGGAACAAATACTAGGTCATAATATTTCTGCCGACTTCTGCCAACCACCTTCGACCTACTGCCGGCAACTGCCACTTGGCAATTGCCACCGGCAGAATGGCAGCATTCTGCCAACAACACTAATGGTCACCGTCACTGTGGCTGATTTTTGTTTACAAATGTTATCTTCCAGCCCCCGGTGAGAGTGTGAGGGGGAATAAGGTTGTGCTGGGTTTGAATTTTTCTTGTGTCATGTGACTTATGAAACGCCATCAGATATCGCCCCTCCACACTCGAACCGTGGGGCTGGGAAGGAGCCTGGAATTTATCGTAGATCCTGTGCGTGCGCCGTAACCATATGTTGCTAATATAGAGCTTATGTAAGTGGTCGAACGAGTGCGCCATAGACTTCCCACCATTTGTATTCCAATGCTCCCAGTCGGCGAATTCAACACAAAGTCTCCCAACTTAGGTGGAGTTTAGACAGTACTTAGTGGTTCAGGTCATTCAGACATGCCCTATCATTGTGCAACACTTTCGAATGGTCCTGCATAATATGCGATTCAGACTTTGTGAAGTTGAAGTCTAAGATCAGAAGGCTATCAGAAGTAATCCTTACTCCGACTCAACTTTGTTTGCCTTTTCTGATTGGTACCATTTTTCATGCAATTGACCAACAGCTGATAGTATCTTTCAATCGACCATGTTGGACTAAATGGAGCTCGACGGTTTGCTCAGATTCCGACTGATACAACTTTTCGAAATGACTACTACGGTGTGTACACGATGCTTGTCCGAGGTTCTCAGTATTTGACTCATCCAATGTATGGACTCCTAGAGCATTCAAAGATCCCAGTCTCCTTTACGAGGGCAAGTCTCTTCATCACTTTCATCATCACTCTTGCCATCAATTTTGCTGCATTCCTGTTCTCTTTGTTGAAATCAAATTCCCTGGTGAACTCAATAATCCCTCAGCTAGGATCGCTGCGGACAAAACATGAAAGCCAGATTTTGCAACGTTCAACCCATGACCACCGCACGCAGACTCCATGATATCAGCATCATGGGACGGAAACTTGCTTTCTATTGCATAAACAAATCAAGTCGTTGCATAGTCCCGAATTTTCAAGAGCAGGAGACATACCAATCGATTGGTAGGAGCTGGACATCACGATGGAAGCTGGGCATCGTGTCATCTGACTCAGAGATCAGCTGGACAACAAGGAAGTTAAGGACGATGGGGGGTGGACCACTGAAGCTGTTTCTGCTCCACCTGCACAACCTGAAACGCGGCCAAGTTTCAACTTACGGATTCGACGATTAGGCACCTGTGCAGGCCCTGATGGGTCGTTTATGCCGTCGAAAGCTTCGAGTTCAATTTCTCCGCAACTCCACTTCCAGAAACGAAACTGTTCAAGGTCCATACACCTCTTCCTCCAGCTCAAACCACGCTACAGGACGATGGCGAACCTGAAGTTGTCAAGACTTTTTGACACCAATGCAGATGTACGCAAACTACACCCGAGATGCCATGTTCCAAATACCGTCTAGACCGGCAAATCTGCGAAATGGTTTGTCGTATTCCTTCACTGGCCGTATTCGATATTTTCAAATTTGTCGAGAATGATATTGAAGTCGATTCCTCATCAGGCACGATCATGTATGCCACATCTTATCACGTCCGGCGCTGGTCTAGATAGTCACAATTCCGGCCATCCGAAGCCCTTCAAGCCTCGCTCTGCGAAAGCCGTCATGCTCATCGAGCAGAATGTTAACAAGTAAGCTTGGGAAGATGAAACCCGCACATGAAGGTAATCGGAGTGCCACATTGCATTATCGTATCGTCCATATATCACTTCATCTTGCAAGAATAGTGCGTGCTCTGGTATCAATTGCGCTCGCTGTCTTCATGAGAATCAACCTGTAGTCTGGCACCTCCCTCCCGCCCCTTTAACAAGAGCATGTTCAAGTTCGTCCAAAGACTGCAACCAGTCACGTACACCACTCTGGAATATTTGATACTTTTACATCTATCCTATCTTTGAAAACAGAAATACGAATGTCCTGAATTATGGTATCATATCGTAACCAAGCCATCCAAAATGTGCGATTACCGTCTCCCAAGCCCACTCAGGCCCCATGCAACCTTCGACTGCACGAAATCATATCTGCCCAATATCCTTAGCATCAAATCGCGGATGGACGCCCAACTGAATGGCATCCACCAAGCATATGGATCATACGTAAGACTTGCGAGTTTCATAAGTGTCTTGGTAAACCCGATGATTTCTAGCGCTCGTGCATGACGCGCCTCCGCAAATTCCTGCAAAATGGTATCATCCACATCGGGATCCTCTGCAGATGCTTGAATGTGCTTCGTGACAGCCTCTGCGAGGAAGATCGCGTCCCTGATGGCCAGGTTCATGCCCTGCCCGCCCGCAGGTGAATGTATATGGGCTGCGTCGCCGACTAGAAAAATGGCGGCTCCGAGACGCGTGAAGGTACGGTCTGCGATGGCAGAATGGGTTCTGAAACGTGTCGACCAGACCAGCTGGTCGACTTTGACAGGTTTCGGGTTAAGAGACGGATCCGATGATATACACGCTGGCCCGTATGAGTCGATTAAGTTCTGGATGTACTCTTTCGGTGGAGCATGGGGGGGCTCTCCGTTCTTTGCAGGTATAGCACAACCTATACGAAAGATGGATTTCGTAGTGGGCTTTCCATCTCGTGTCAGTTCAGTGTTGAAGTGGTTGCCAAACGGTGCAAGAAAAAAGATATTGCCTGAAAAAACTGTGGCGTTGAGGTGGGTCTCCAGGGTGAATGGACCGACGGGTTCAGGCTCGAATGTGACATCTGCAGAGACCATCTGAGCCAATAGGTTACTGGTTAGGTGTGGGCCTTCTGGGTCAGAGAACCCTATACCAGCGACGGTACGGATCTGGAAATGGTCGTCAGACATTCTACTAAGCTGAGTAGGTGAGCATTGAGGTCTCACGATTGAGCGGGCGCCATCTGCCCCGATAATATATCTAGCCCTGATAACTTGACCGTCCTCAAAGGAGACATCAGTGATGCGAGAGTCCTTTTCATTCTGTTTCATTCCTACTGCCCTGTGCGGACGCTGCACCTGAACACCAAGGCTCTGCAACTTCTGCCCAAGTACAAACTCGGTGACATTTTGAGGGATACAGAGCGCGTAAGGGTGGACGGAATGTTTCTTTAGAGGGTCAAATGTGCCGTCAAAGATCTGCGAAGTACGAGATGTGATTCTGATGCCCTTTCCCTTGATGGCTCGAGACAGTAACCCATCTGCTGCATTAATACTGGCTAAAGCCTAATATCACAAGAATATCAGTGGGCCTTCTTACGAACGCACAGGTATCTTACCTCGACGGTTGCACAGTGTATGGCGATCGCCCTCGATGCATTCAGTCCTTCGCCTACGGCATCCACGATAACGAAGTCATGGCACCCGTAGTGGACGAGAGAAAGAGCAGCTGTGAGACCTGCGGGGCCTGCACCAACAATAAGCACGGTAGTGATCTCGGGGAGAGACATTGTCTGTTTGGAGGATTTTGAGAATGATAATAAGTATGAGTGAGAAGATGGATAAGCTTCAGATGGCTCTTGCACCTGTTATTTAAGGCCACCAGTACCATACACAGGTTATCTTAACCGGTAGTTCGTAAGGATGACTTGCTGTCCCACACGGACTGCAACTGTTGAAGAATGTGTGGGCAATAACCAAACTAGACTCAGAGTGACTGAAGTAGTCCGATCCTGGTGGACTTGGTGACTCAATTTGTGTCCAGTCAGGATCGTGCACGACCGTCGACGCATGCGCTGGCAATTTGTGTCCACATGCGCTCGCCCGGAGGTGAAACGTTGTCTCGGCATATGACATGGGTCATGCCGATTGCAAAGTTCTCGTCCGTTTCGCGCGATGAAAAGGCGATGGAGCGGGTGAAGCGAGGACGCTTAAGCCGGGCCAGGTGCAATTGACGCGGCCCTGCCGCGGGGGCCTTACCGAGCGGTGGTTGAGGTCTTCACCACTGATGTAATTGATGCGTTCAGGGACTCGTGTTTCCCACCCCGATCTACTTCGGAATGCTAACAGGGCACTACGCACTCCTTTTTTAATGTTCGTTGACACTATGTAGTACCGTCTTAACCGACAAAGTTTCCCAATGCCAACGATTCTTGAACTTTGCGATCGGCAAGCAATCTGCAACGGCCAACTCTTCGAGACTCTATTTGCAGTCGAGAAATCTAGATCCTCATCTGTTGCTATATATAGAGCTTATGTAATAAGTGGTTGAACGAGTGCGCCAGACTTACATAGTAGTACACACACACTGCGTGCGTGTTGTCAAAAATTTCCGACGGTAGATACCTGGCTGGAATGTGACCCCAGGGTCAATTTCTGGACCTATGGTATGAACCGGCTTCCAGACGGTTGATTTTCCGGATTTCAATCACCTCAAAGACATCGTTTGGCCATCAAGTTCGAGCCAGCTGCTACCATGGGTCCAAAACGACACCATACGTATACCGTATATATATAATAAACCACATATATATGGTGTACAGATTAATGATCTTTATTTAATAATGATTTCAAATATTGTGAATATGCATTAATATTCCATTTAAATTATGAATACATGGTAGCTATAGGAAATATGATACTGATGCCACCCGCTCGCTACACCTCTGGCAGCCTGACTATATACTAGATGTATGCACGCATGCATGCACTGGCGAGGGAGGGGCTACACGAGGTATCCATTAGTGGTCGAGATGACAATCAACGGAAGCCAGACTTACAGAGAAATGATAGACGTCATTGGCTTTTGTCGAGGTTGTTTTCACGATGTTCTGCATTATGGCTTGCGTTAGTGCTAGCAATTTCAGAGATGAGAGTTGCTCACATTGATATTGACGGAGGTCGCAGCGCTGATGACCTTCCCACTGTCAACCTGGGCTCTGGAGCAAGCAAGCGGCAAGCCTATACAATATATAAGTGACTTTCAAGACTATTGATCTTGTCATTACTTACTGGGCTGTGTAGGTCGCGGTAGCCCTGTATGAGAACAGGAACACCCACCCGACTTCCCGAATTTGCTGACTCTGAAAAAATGGCAAGGTTTGAAATCGTCCAAGACACGAGTAGGCGCACTTACTTCCACACTATCGGGAAAACGTCCTCATAGAGGCCATCCACATTGGGACTCCAAGCGAGCATGATCATGACCTCCTTGCCGAGGTCGTGGCTGCGAAACGTTGGGTGAGAAATTTGTGCAGAGCGAGATCGCCAACACTTACGACTGGAAGGTCAAATTCTTGACCAAGGGCCGGGGTGACAAGTAGTTGAGATTGAATGTGGATTGAAGAGCTTGAGTTCGGCAGTCATCCCTGTTGTCGAGCGTCAAGAGCAAGGTAAATTTAAACTCCGTGCACATTGATCTGAACACTTACTGTGCGGCACAGCCTCATTCATATAGGACCGCATACATCCAGGACCCATGAGAACCCCTTTGGAACCCAGGTTGGCTGAGGCCCAAATTTGTCCGGACACATTTTGAGGATTTTTGTCCGGATGCCGTCCTGGGTCCACCTGAGGGGTGAATTCTGTCCGGACTCTGACCCAGGTTATATAGTAGTCGACTTGCTCATTCGAACTTCAAGCGTCTAATGAAAGCTGTAAAAAGCAAGATTTGAACTCTCGCGTTCAACATTATCGATGGTGTCGTTCCGCTACACTACTCTACCATATCACATCTATCGGGCAATAGCCCATGTCTGGACTTCGACCTGGCATACCACCACCCCCTTCGCAGATGTCCGGACGTTCACCTGGGTTGACACCCAAATTAGATGTTTTGTGTCCGGACTGTAACCTGGGTGAAACGGTCATTTGGGTCAATTTTTGTCCGGACGCCAGCCTGGGTTCCATGGGGGTTCTCATGGGTCCTATACATCCAAGCAGACTCGGAGCCTCGTAAGTAATTCTACTGAAACTATTGTTGGCTGATCCCAGCATACATAGAAAATCACAGCTATACCGGTGTAGAGAATTGTGCCTCTCATGGCGTGATATGGCAGTTTCCACTAAGGGAGTATACAGCACCAACTCGCAGCACCACTCTGTGTACTGTCCACAGCAATTCCTATATGAGGCGCAGCTTTCCCGCGCAACGCGCGCCATGCGCGCACCATTCCCGCGCTTCGCGATGTATACGCGCGCGTTCCCGCGCTTGCGCGCCCTATAGCGCCAGCCATCCAGATGCATCCATCCACTGTCCACCAAGCTCCCTAGTGTGTATATTTCCATTTCCTTTATTAGCATAGTGTTCCACCTTTATTTTTATCATGGACTCTCACCCATATATATCCTTACATACCTACTCGGTAGCGCTTCGGCTCCGCATGACCGCGCTTAGGCGCGCTATATAAGCGCCAGCAGAACTTACTTTCACCTAACTTTTACCTCCCAATTACTAGTTACCACCCACTATTTACTTAGCAGAACATAGTAGAAGTCTATTGGTCTACACTTTGCATCACTCTTCTCTTATCTTGTATCATATCATCACTTAAGTTTAGTTTCTCTTATTTCGCGCCTTTGCCGCGCTTCGCGCTAATACGCGCGCGCGTTCCCACGCCTTCGTACCTTGCGCGCACCTGCGCTTTCTCGCGCTTCACGTTCTCGCGCATACCTCTAGACCTTTGCTGCACCTGCTTCCCCTTTAGGGTCGAATGCACTTGTCTCCTCAGGTAACGCAGACTAGGCAACACTCGACCTACAACATTTTTAGATACAGTTAGGAGCATCTTTTGTTCCTCTCAGTATTGTTGTTTCTACACTGGATTACTTGTCACACTTGACATAGGCCATCCCTAGCCAGCCAACTTCTGCGTGTGTGCATGCGCTGCCAGTCCAACCCTCATACTACTGCTGTGCGATCAGTAAGTCATTCAATGTATCTGTTAGAACTTAGTTGATGTGATGTATGACTGGCCTTGTCGGGTGGATGGTCATTGTTGGAGATGTATGCAATAGAGCGCTAGCGCGTAGTACTAAGCAGACGCATACAGTCGGTATGGATAAGTACAAATAGGTTTAACTTCCATAACGGCACTTAGCTCGCGAAATTTACGCCTGGGCGCACCATATCGGGCGAGGTCGTCACGTGACGTGAAAACCTCGTCCCGTTTTGGCACGCGCACGTGAGTTTCGGATTCTCCCCTTTCCCTTCTCGGTGCCTCGAGGCTGCCTCGTTTTGGTAGTTAGTAGTCGAGTGGGTGATAGGCCAGTATCTCCAGTATAATACCAATTCGTTTTGATTGCTTCTCTTCTTCCCTTCAAAATGTTCGAACTGTCTCTTCCCTTCTTTCCGTTTTGTTCCTCACTCTCACTCTCTCCCTTCCACTCCCTCCACGGCAAATCGACTGTGTTTCGGTCCCTCGCTCTCTCGACGTTGTTTCGTTTCATCCCTCACTCTCTCGGTGAAAATTTAAGGTGCGTTCATCTTCAAAATTGATTTAAATGAACTAAAGACGAGGCCATGATTATTAGTGTGTATAATATCGAAATCTACCTAATGGTCTGCTACTTGCGTGGGATGATCTCTCCACGGTCCTTCTTGGCGCGTTTGACAGCAGTGAGCAGGGCCGTGTGGCCTTCTTTGTACTCTGGATATGCAGCAAGGAACACCGACTCATTTCCTTGGTACCTTCAAATGGTGAGTGACTTTGGGTGCTATTTTGGAGGCAGGTCACTCACTGTTCGAGGAACTCCAGCGCAATCAGAGCACGCTGGTGGTACTTCGAGCCGAAGATGGCTTTGTTCTTGCCCTTGAGCCATTCGGCTGGCCAGTCTCGGAGGGCCACATGCAAGCCATGTACGGGATCGGCTTCTGTCCAGTGCTGGATGATGTACCTCCAGGAGTCCTTCTTGGGAGCGTAGCTCCCATCAGCACGCCGCACGGGAAGGTTTGGAATGTCCAGGCCCTTCTCGGGGAGTGGACGAGAGCCGAAATTCATGGTGCCGGTGCTGTTTGTGACTGGATTGAAGGTGCGACTTGGAGCAGGGATCATCTGCTGTGGGATGAGTGTTGGGGACTCGTGAGGAAGGAAGGTACCATGGAGTGTGTGCTGCACTGGTGGCTCATGGACAAGAGTAGAGCCGGGCGGTCCATTCCTGCTGGAGATGAGTGTGTTTGTGAGGAAGTGGACATCACTTCGCAAATCTTCGACATCAGCTGTGATGAACCGCTGCATGAGCTGCAGATCCTGTGAGCATGCAGGCCTGACAAGCCGGTGCTCGCCAAGCAAGGAGCCATCAGCCTCATTCTGTGTGGGACAAAGGGCATCGCTGTGGTCATTTTCGTAAGTCGAGAGCTCATCGAGTAGGTACCGGATGAGTGTATCATGCTGATGTATTTTCAGGAAGTCTGTCAGCTTGAGGGACTCTTGTCAACTCACGTTCTCATTTTCTGCCCATGATCCCCACCACCTTACCCTAGCCAATGTCCAGCGCTCACCAACAGGTGCAAACATCCAGCGCCACTGTGCTCCACCACAACGGTAGGTGTGTGTGGTGAAACTGTCACCTCCACCTCGTGGAATTCCTGCGCCAGCAGTTGCTTCGTTGATCCAAGCCTGCACGGCATCATGCGAGATATGTTCACCACGATGGACGATGCCGTTGGAGCCAATTGTGGGGAAGACAAAGTCCTCCGGCCCAAGCTCACCATTGTAGTGAATCCTCTCAAGAAGGGCGAGCCACAGCAGCATCCAGAAGAAACAATCACAGCCAGGCATGCCTGGCTGTGGATAAATTTTGTACCGGTTACCTAGTGAGTAGATTCAGTGATTTCACTGGCCGCATGACATGTTTACTCACTGCGCAAGTCTGCCTCCTTCAGCCCTTTATCCACCTTCCGCTGCCATCCTTTGCGATTTGACAAGAACACTTCGAAGCGAGCATGTGAGTCCTTGATCGACAGTGTCTCATTGTATAGATACTTCCTGAAAGCCGTGTTGACTTCGGACGGATCAATTGTAAGGTCTTTCTTTTTGAGTTTAATCAATTCGAAACACCTTGTCCATAGATTCCAGGCAGTGGTGCTGAACGCTTGGTACATCACAGCGCGTGTGATTGATGTGCGCAGCTCCAAGGTGAGGTTGTCGGTAGCTGTTGTATCCCCTTCAAGCAACCTTCTGACGAGAGCCACATAGGTCTCGCTCGGCCAGCATTTGTGGACCCACATTAGAATCCTATCCATGAAGCCTTTTGACATTGCGATCGAGTGAGTTCTGTCGGCGCCCTCACTATTTGTCTTGTGTTGGACTGACTTAATGACATCCTGCACTTCAGCCGAGCATGCAGGATTCCCTTCCCAGCGTCTCCGTGTCTCATTGTAACTCCATTTTCCACGATATGTATCACCGGCTCTGTCATATGATAGTGAGTGTTAAATGGGTCACTGTAGAGGTGCTACACTGGTACTCATGCTTCCTCCCAGTACTTTTTGAACGCTGCATAAATACCGTCACATGTACTTTGGCCATTGTTTTCATGAAAACACTTGTATGAAATGAAGAGTGCGAGTGCTTTATCTGAATGTTGGTTAGGTATCTGCTCGAGTGCATCTCTGAATGTTGAATCCTCGTAAGCATCATCATTGTGTGATTCTTCATCTCCACAGCCAGTAGCGGAGGCATGCACCTTCAGCCATTTCTGTCCACGGTCGACGTATGAGCCATAATTCTTCCGCGTGCTGTTTGCATGCTTATGCTGCTGTTTTGCCCTTTCCTTTATCTTGTCAATGACCGGCAAGGTCGTGTTTCCTGTAGGCTGTGCTCCTTTCCTCCGTTTCTTGGGACTTGCTTCGCTGGGGTGGACTAGGACCTTATTGGAAGTTTTTTTGGTTCTTCCCATGACTGACATTATGTCGTACTAGTGTAGTGTTGTCAAGAGAGTGCAAAGGGGTCCATTCCCTCATTTTAACTTCAGCCGCGCCACACTTGTCATTCACAGCAGAATTTTCATGTCATTAATTGCTCGGTCCATCAATGGGACCAGAGCCATGTACTATGTTGATGTGTCTCAGAACAAAATCAATCTACAGTAAGGTCAATAACTTCCCGCCCCTCCCCATCAGTGCACACTTTCAGTCGACTTCCTCCACTCAGCCCTGGATCCCCAACCTCACTACTCGTGTCCCCAACCTCAGGCCATAGCATATCTGCCACAGCAGCATACTGTGCTGATAGACGGGGATGCCAGTCAGGCAGCGGATCTCCTGAAGAAGGTCCTGCCAAAGTGGCATGTTGATCAGAGTAGTCGATAACATCTTGAGGTGAGGTGAGCTCCATGATGCGAGCGGGAATGGTGACTTTGCTGTGTGATGGCACCCAGGACTTGCCCTCTTCAGGATTTGGATCATCGTCAGCTTGAATACCATCATCAGTAGCATGAACGAAAGACAGCGCATATAGCATGACACAGTATACTGATACGCCCCCCTCAGGATCCTTTCGTTTGTTGACATTGAATGTGGGCTTTGGGAGCGTGTCCCCATCATTTGTCCGCAGCTTGAAGCTATGAGTTAGCGCTGACAACAGTGAGGTAGAGAAGGCCCACCTGGCACAGTGCCTGCATGCATGCAGTGGACCAAAAATGGTGCCTGAGATACTTGTGAATTTTTGGTTGCATCCAGCCAAGGCGAGCTTTGCAGAATGCAGCAAGACGTCCAATATTAGGCTGAGTGGGATTGAGTTGTGGAAGTAAAGATGAATTGGTGCCATCGGACCAAGTGGTGACTGGATGAAGGTAAAGGTGCATGATTTCGACACTGGGAAAGTCTGCAGGAATGGATGCTGCGAGTGCCGGATACTTTCTCCCCAAAGTACCATCAACCAGGACAGTGCAGAGGTGATCACGCCAAGTCTTGAGCATGCCTGGAAGCTGTGCAGGTGCCACAGATGTCATGACTCGCATCAGCGAGTCACTGAGGTCACCTACAAGCAACGCATGGCTGACCTGACTGCCGCACCCCAAAAGTCCTCCCTAGATATGATTTTAGAGCTGCCAGTAGTTGTATGAAAAAAAAAATGTACTGGGTTGTAGTCACCTCCACGGAGCATGGCCCAAAGGAGGAGATGGGAAGTTGTCAAGGGAATTTTTGGGTTGTTTGATAGGGCTTCAGCACAGTAGGCATCCACAAGGAATGTACCGTCATCATTGTCTGTGCTAATCAAGTAGCATGGTTAGAACACTGGACAAATATTACACTAGATAGACTCACAGGCATAAAACTTTTGCCGCACCAAATAACAGGGCATCACTGTCTTCCGTCAATACTGCACTGATCTTCCCTGCTTTCGACAAAAATGCTAAGTCTGCTTCAGCCTCGCCTTTGGCCTGCCCACAACAGTCAACCTATTGCTGCAACACAACAAAAAGGTGCCCTCACCGTGGTCCATGTGAATCCAAATATTTGTAAGAGTTCCTGTAAGCTTCGTGTCAGCCAGTGGGGTGCTGACCGCACATGCTTGCCGCGCTTGATTGGGGGGCGGTCCTCCCCATCGAAAATGAAGTGGGTGTGAACAGGTGCATTAGCTAGGGTGACAAGCTTGTACATGAGTGTTCGTAGTTCTGGGTTTTCGCCTGACTGGGCATGTCCGAGTCGAAAGGCCTGCAGTTTGCAGACGGCATAAAGCCAAGCACTAGTTGTGAAGGATTAGCTGGATGGTACAGCTCACACTCAGCCCACGCACCTGGCATCAACACCGATTGTCATCATTGAAAGGCCACCTTCATCCTGCACATGCCCCTTGAGCCCTTCGAGGGCGAATGCTGTCAAGGTTTGCCCCTGTGTACTTGGGGAAACTAACTGCAAGGCTAAGCGTAAGTCCAATGACACAGAGAAGATCACAAAAACTAACCTTCCATAACTCAGTTATACCCATGGTGACAGTAGTGAGAAGAAAGTCGATTTGAAGCCACTGGAGGTTATATGCAATGCGGTTTAGGGGTGGCCACAGCCACACCGGATACAGCAAGGTAATAGCCAGGTGACATACCTGTTCTTCGGGAAGAATCGGACATGGTGTCTTGAACGTCAGTTCAGGTTTTGCACCCTGTACAATGATGAACGTTACATCACGGAATCGGGCTGGAGATGTTTTTAATTGATAATTTTGGTAAAATCAAATCGAATATACATATATTATACCCGAAGACAAAGCAATACAATAAATTGTAAGAAAATTCCAATTCTGATGAAGACATGTATGTCTCATAACTATGGTACTTGGTAGATAATCACTTATAGGAATTCCCGCATCTCTCCAAAATTATGGTCTATCACTGTATGTGCTCGGCTTCCTGTTGGCCGTTTGCAATTGGATGCAGTCGGCTACAGTATCTTTGAAATATTTGTGCAGTATTGTCGTTGCTCACAGTTGTGATGAGTCTATGGAGATACATTATCAAGAGTTATAATATTTACGTAGTATGGTCGTCCAGGAAAATGGATTGTCAGAAGTTGCAATATTCTCGTAAAATTTATGCAGTAAGTTATGATATTGTACCATCAGATACTAGACAACCCTTCAAGCTTCAATAGCTAAAAGAGACGTACAGTTGTGATTGATGCGATCGGCTAGGTAAATACACAGAAATCAGGGAAGTGGTACTCCTCAGCTCTACAGTAGAGTCATACGCAGCAGGTAACATGAAGGGCGTTACAGTGAGTCATGGGGAGAGCGGAGATGAGTATGTGCACATGAACACTCGCCTTCTCGTTGAATTTCTCGGCAGACTCTCTCGAGCCCAAGTAGCTCAAGAGTCGCGCTCCTCCTATCCTGTGGTTCACTTTGTAAGGCTCGCGAGTCGAACATTTGAACTGATTAAAGTCACGGTAATATTGACTAACACTGCTCAGAGAGCCAATTGTTCTCAGATACGTTGAAGTATTAGTTATCTTTAAAAAAAAAATATGTCTGCGTCGTCCATCCCTATCTAGCTATCGGAAAGACTTTCGCATTACCGTATCAGCCCAGGACCAAAAGCAGCGATCGTCAAGAGAATTGTGAGGCCTGTCCCAGTAACAAGTGCCAGCCCACATCCTATCCTTGTGGATAAGGGCAACCCGTATTCAATTGCGAAAACCCCTGCGAGAAATCCAAAGATGGAAAAGATCAAACTGTTGCCATGAGTAACACAAGCAACCGAGATCAAAAGTTTGCTTACCTCGTCAGATATAAGAGACTTGGTATGCTTAAAATGACCACAAAACTGACCATCTTCCCTTGTAGGTAATATGCCTGTTCAAGTACTAATGTCAAATACAGACGGCAGAAATAAGAAGATAATCGAACTGCAAAGTCAAGGGACCGCATGCGGTGACCAAATTGTTGTGCCAGCGTGCATGCGATAATGCAGTGGACACTTAGAATAAAAGAGATGGAGCATAGCGTCTTTGTAGCAAACGTTGAACCCAAACCTGGGATGGCAAGGATACTGGCGTCAACTGCCATGATAACACTCGCCTAGCAGCCTATATGGTAAGCGTTCTCATCCGGGTCTATGACATACCACTTACAACCGTAGTTTGAGATTTAGCTTGTGCACTAAAGTCGTCTATGAATTTCTTCATATCCACCCCATTGACAAGACCGTCAACATAAATTGTTCGAAGTCGTTTGAGCACCATGATTGGGACCCAGAACATAGCAACGGCAACGGCAGTCATGAAAGTAGGTTTTTCCAGGTCTGTGCGCTTCTCGCCCAGTGAATGCGTTCGCATCAAGCGAGCTTCGGGCTGGCCATGGTGATTTAAATATTCGTGATGCCCTGTTTTGTGCCTCGATTAACAACGTGATCTGAGAAAGGAACAACGTACGGAGTATGTGCAACAATTTACCTGTTCGTATGTAACTAGATAAGTTCAAATCGCCTGTTTTCATAAGACTCACGTACCGCAGATTGCGACACCGTGCTCCTCCATGACCCCATCACTTCCTGCCAGTTCTTCTGTCATTCGGCCATCAGCTTGAAGATAGAAATTGAAATCAGCATACGTACCTGCAATAGCTAGCTCAGCAGTCATTTCTTTCATTTGTTCTAAAGTCCAAAATATTGAGCCTGCAGTAGATTTTTCTAAAGCTAAGGCCTCTGTCCGTCATTCAGATCATTGTTATCGGGCGCTACGATGTAAAAAGAACTCACCTATGCGATACCAATTCAATCGCCGTCGCAAAGTTCTTACTTCCGAATGATGCATTTCGATCCCGTGTGGAAAATATTCGATGTGTTTCCTAGTCTAACAGTGAGAAATGTTCTTTGTTTCTGTCAGAATATCGCTCACCAATATTGGGCCTCCAGTTCGAGTCCTATACAATAAATTTGACACAAATACACAAAAAAAGTGACGCACTTTTGTGGTTCCAGTGCCATACCGCTGTACATTCTTGAAATAGGAGGTAGGCATCCACGGGTTCGATCCAGGTAATGATGCGGTTCTCGGGTACCACATAATAGTACGGATAAATCTCCTGCCCCCTCACTAGGATCGGCTCGACGACTAACAGCCACTGTTTTCCTTCTATTTTGCTTCTTGACACCTGGATCCAAGATTCGAGTTTCTGGAGTTGTTCATCAGAACAATCCCTCACATTCATCCCGGTGTAAGTTTTCTTTATCACTATTAAGTGAGTCTGTAACTTAAATAATAGGCGGTACTCACACTTTTTGCATTGTAGTGATATACAGCTCCAGACAGATGAACAAGCTCTTGCCAATGCCCGCGCACTTCATGGCTGTCGGTGTCGCGGTTGCGGTTAAATCGACATTATCAGAAACAAAGGCAACGAACCACGCGAGGCCGATCTGCATCTTCTGCACATGGTAATCACGACTTAAAGATTCACTGTTAAGCATAGTCAGTACTCTATGTTTATCCTAGTACTAGTAGTGGACACTCACGGCAACGTTCTTTCGGTGTACCGACGTAGCTGCATTGGCCATATAGGGACACTGTGATTAAGCAGCTCGACCTCCCGATCGATTCCTCCAGCTAGGATCTTGCATGACAGTTTAGGTACTAGGTAGGCTAGTAGCTTTAATGGAACTCGAAATAAAACGTACCATCGTGGCCATTGTGATGGTTCAACGTTCAACTTACCAACGTGGGAGTCGTTCACATGGTGAGATACATAATCAGTACGATGATGTAATGAGCAATCACTGAGTGTGGTATCAAATTACACAAATTATGGAGTATTTGAATGAGAAACGAATGTAATAGGGATTCATATGCAAGTGAGGGTGTATGAAGTCATTAGGGTTCGGAATCATGCATTACTTCCGGAGATTAGCAAGCTTCTGCTGCAGACCGGCTAGAGGGTTGCCCTTGCGGATGCGGCAGATGTACGTGAGCGTGAAAATTGCACAAACCTGCAAGGCACACAATTAGCTCAATGAAAGTACACAACAGCAGGAACTTACGTTGAAAACAGTGATACCAAGCATGATGCCCAAGTCGCGCCAGTGGTGAGAAGCCTTGATGTTGAATGCGGCGAACATAGCTGTCGGTCGTGCGGTAAGGGCAGAACAAACACGTGGACGTGGCGCTGGGGTCGGCGAGGTAACTGCCAGCATATTGCATGAATGGATGCAAGTATTGGGAGCAAGTGGATCCACTGGGAGGGATGACAAGGACGAACTCATACCGAGCGCAGTTAATCTCATTGCCACCAATAGCTAAAGGAAATGTTAAGAATCATGTACCGACTTCATTCAAAAAGCGCACCTTGACCAAGCAGACCCTCCATGAAGTAAGTGAAAGGGGGGACGCGGTGCATCCACTGCCACCAACCAAGAGCACGGTATGGTTGTAAGACACCGTTGCTACAAAACAGTAAGGGACAAGGCCATATCACATGCATCTGCATTTACTCACAACAACAAACGAGAACAGCGCACTGAACAGAAGTGACGCGATCACAACGGTTGGAGCCATGGAAGCGACCGCCTGTGCAACAGTTGTGTAGTACATGGGGAATACAACACCATATATGAGGTAGTGTATCCCGCGTGATCGTTGGGGAACCTGACAGTCCAGTACCAGCAAAAAAAGAAGAGCGACGAGCACATAATGTTCCATGGGAGCTCGACCAGAAATTGGCTGACAATGAGAGTGGTCCAGTTGTACATCCTGCTTGGGGGCTCTCTAATTTCATAGACAGTCCGAATGTTGATGAACATTGCCTGAAGCTGTTGCGAGAGGGAACACAAAGCACCGAGGCTAAAAAGATCGCCTATCAAATAGGTTAAAGATTTTCGTCATGTAATACAATACACCACATACAAAGAGCTTGTTCTGGATACCATGGAGCGAGTCGCTGGTCATGTAGAACGTGAAGCCAATAAGCAAGCCTCCGGCAATGGAAAGCGCGAACTTGGCTACGAGGTAGGTTGGATTCTGCCAGTGAGTTACACTGTGTGAGGGCTACGAGCTGGTGATACCACAACGTCGCAAACTCGGTAGGCCGTGCTGCTTGAACGACGGGGCGAGCGCGGCTTTCATTGTGGATGTTCTCAATCTCCTCTCGGAGTGTAGCAGCCTCAGTTCTTCCAGATGGAGTGCCAGTCGACTGAGGTCGATGCTGTTGCACCTGTGGCAATGACATCAAGCATGTACTCGGCCCTGGAATAAGTTGTCAAGTTGAGAATGGTAAGGTACAACCAGGAAGCACATACGGATTAGCATCAGGATGGCATCGAGAGGCACTGTTGCGCTGAAAGTAATCGAGCATCGAATCTTTCAAATATCTATTCGCGCACTTCAGGGACTCGAAAACTACAAGTTGCCGAGAGCCTTTAAGCCCAAAGTCGCGGATGCCGTCTGGGGGAATGAGATATCTGGGGATCATTGACGTCAACCCAAGTCAATCTAACTTGAACCAGCTTACTTTTCCTGCATAGCCAAAGCATTTTGCCAGCGACTCAGTGCTTCCGAACCCCAAACAACAGCTCCAGAATCAGGGCACGCAGGTGAATATGAAGATGCTAACAGCACCCAAACTGCTTGAACATCCGCCGCCCTTGTTCCGTCAAAACAAGCCGGTTGTAATCCTCCACTACTGAGTTACAGCGTGGTTTCCACGTGCTCAGTGACTCCTCACCGCGTACATGTTTTTCCATATCCAAGCACCACAAATCCTGAGGCGAACGTGTCAGGCGAAAGACGTAGGTTGAAGATTGAGCTGATATGGATAATCTTGCCTGAGCTTAGGAACATTAGTGATTTGCCCAGCATGCGTGCATCCCGCGCGTGAATGGCGACCGCTATATGCATGCTACATGCGTCCACAGCAATGGACCAGGCAATTTGTGAGGTCCATCTAGTGATCATGTCCATAAGTAGCACGCGAGTCATTCATGTCATCATACGCACATCCCATCATACTGTACACCGATCCTCGGTATCGCACACTGAAAGAATATGCATGAACACCCTATATGATTTACCGGATGCTGGCACATGAGTGATACCGAGTAACAAGATAGACCACAAGCATACTAGCCTGCCCATCTGCCAGACCAAAAGTAACATCAACATACCTTCTCACAGAAAAACAATGCAAAAAACTCACTCACAAGCCGAGCATTAAACCCCGTAAAGCTATGATCCGACAACTCCTTTCCCAGGTTGTCATATAAAGTCTACTGTGAGCAGTACCCCAGATCATCTCATGGTCCCGCAGACCAGTAACTACTACCAAAGCCAAAGACCATTGTCTTGTGTTCCGTAGCGTGTTTGGAGTCTTCCTAATAACCATGTTCTGGTGGGTTGAAGAAAGTCTGGTTGCCCTGCATCTGGACAAGTGATTCAGCACCTCGAGCGAGTTCTATATGCAAGAATTTGGAAAGTTGAGATGAGCATGAACTATGCATGTGTATCTATCACAAACGCACCGCAAGAATTGAGGGGTCCAGTACATCGTGCCACCACCTTGATGGGAGCTCCGAACCAAATTATTGTGAGTCTTGCGTCAAGAAATGTTCTATAAGTGAGAAATGTCATAAAAAGATAGCTGTGGCTAGATTTGGGATAAAAGTAATGGTATTGGTGTCAGTGACGGTTTGAAACTTTGAACGTATTCATGTTATGTTATGTAATCATTCATCAATTGGGTACGAACCAGTGAACTGTGTCGGAAAAGCTGTGACTCATATGCCTTCTTCATGACCTTTCAACTCTTGCAGGGGCGTGGTCACTGGTGCTTGGAATAAGCTTCGAAATTTTTCTGGAGGTCGATGGCGTTGAGTACGGTTGAGGTGAACTCTGGAAGGACTGGGGTGTCTTTCTCTAATCTGCAGAGGTGCGTGTACTATTGTACGTTTTGTGCTGCTTCATTGCTTCAACCTGCCTCATTTCCACAGACTCCCAGGATATTAGGCTGTTTGCTCTCGCATCTCTATCAGCAGCAATAATGTATTATATCCGCCGTCCTTGACAGTACACCCTCCCAGCGCTTCTGCAGTGCATACCTACGTCCAACTCTTATTTCAACAGCTCCCTGAATGTATCTCATCATATCCAATCGAACTTTTTGTGCTGCCCATCGAATATGACTATCTATTCTGCATGAGTGTACGAATATCGTTATTTTTCTTGTCGAGCAGCTACTCCAGCACACCACCGTGTCACTACTTCAAATGCACGCACATGGCTTGCTGTAGTATCACCCCTTCAGGTCTTCATACAGTTGATTCTCAAGTTCTACATGCAGCCGAATTTTCTATCCTTGCGTCTCAAACCGCTACTAACTCTGCGATATGGGCATTCTACTTCCAAGGCGCGTTTCATTCAACATTTATCTTTTCCAAAGGTGTTCACAGCCTTGCTGCACTCGCTCTGCTCATCATCAACTTCATGGACTCCCGGCCCAACTGACTTCGGTTTTATCATTCGCCAATCCTCTACCAGGTATGTCTCCGTTAGAGTTGTGCAATACAAGTACCAGTACAACACGGTCGCTAACCTCAGCTGCAGAGGGGCAATTCGCACTTAAGAGCTGGAATTCATGAAAAATCGTACTTTCATGAGAATTGTTAATATTGCTCATGCTACCAATCTCATGCAAGTTGCACGATGAACGTGTCCGTAAACGCTCTCCTGGAACAAGTGAGCATCATTGTTGACCATCTGACTCTTACGGAAAGGTAAGAGTTTTGATGCATACGGGTGCAACGTTGCTGATACTTCTGATCGTACTGTACCAGTTCTATCGCCACCAAAAATACATATGACATCCAATTGCTGAAATCCCTCGCAAGCGACCTCGGATTCGGTATACCTTACACTGTGTTTCGTGTACAATCCTGATGCGTCTTCATATAGTGCATCAACTCTTCATGATGTGTTTGGATCCAGCAAAGTTGTGAGGACGCCGTACGCTATCCCATCCTTCACTACTAATTTTTCATGTGGAGAATCACCCTGGGTCTCCAAGTTAAAGTCTGTCAGTATATATGATGACGAGATTAGTATAAGCTACGTATATCGAAATAAGCAAATGTTTAATTTTGAGGGAACAGGTGTCCTGAGAATACGTTATGTACAAAATGAGCGCCTGAAAGGTAACGATAAAATCGAAGCGGTTGACGCGTACGACCAGTAACACAGCAGAATTTGAAAGTTTATGCCGAGAGGTGCATATATTTCTAACTGGAGAAAATTACGATTGGCTCATCTAAATGCTGTAAATGACCGGCAAGCTGCAGAACTCCGATGACTTGATGATGCATTCTTTTTCAACGAGAGTTCAGTCGATTATCGCGCGAATGGTGACAATTATCATGATGTACTACTACCATAAGTGTGTAAGGGTATGTGTCACAGAATGCAGATAGATGTTCTGGCTGTACGGCGCAGTAAGTTGGGCGCCATGACACTATGGTAGTCACGGAGATCTAGAAAGAAGTGGTGGTGGGTGGAATAATATGCTACAGGGTGTAATGGGAATGGTATTATACAGTGCCCTTGTGATCGTCATGTACCGTTGACATGCTCTCAGCTACAGCTGGAAGGGCGTTTTTGAGTGATCATTCTGATAAAAATGACAACACTCACCCGAAGCGCTGATTTCACTTTACTAACGGCGAGGATGAAACTGTTTTTGATTCCTGCCAGCGAGTGAGGCGCAACGACGTTCTGAGGTTGAAATAGATCGGGTCGCTGGATAATAATTTAGGCGACTTGGATGAGTCGCAAGCAGGAAAGTAAAAACCGACTGACAGAATCCATCCATATGTCAACTTGCGTCTGATAAACTTTAGGCTCCATACTTGAGTGGCACTGATCGAAAACGATGCTCACCAAAACTTTTCCGTCTCTTACGGGTAACGGTCCCATACATGCTGTGTGTACCATATGAGACATCTAATTGCTATTACGTTACCGACAATATATTGACAGAAAGGGGCTTACCTTTGAGATCTGGTTTTGTAGAGCGCTGAGTGATCAATGATTCCAAATTTAGATATCGACGATCGGAATTCAGAATAGCAACCAAACAACGATAAATGTTAACGCCTGCGTCTGTATGGTAAGTCGTTGAGCTCTAAATTGGAATCCCGCCTACATATCTTCAGTGGTCAAGCTTAAGTTTCCAACCTTCATTTACTCACTCCTGCCTACACGCCATTTGACCTCGTCTGCTCCCAACTCATCGCTCGACTTTGTGTGGTCATTCTGGCCTCAAGCCGAGTACCACTGTTGAGTCTCGCGTCTCATACTAAACTCTGCGTTGCAAGGTATCTTATCGCTTATAGTACATCATATTGGAACGCACCTCAAGGCCTCATCCTTAATGATCATGTCATTACTATATCCATCATTGGCAGTATATCAATATTTCGAATGACGATACAAAATAGTGTGAAACGTATTCTCGATCAAAGTACCTTGTTGAAACATAAATCATGCGCCTGCAGATTAGCTCTCTGCGAACAGATAGACGTGAATTCTGCGTTTGGAAGAGTGGTGAGATTGTGGACCATTTCGGTGATGGGCTCAAGATCTTCATATAACGGTGTTGTCTCGTTCATGCGAGTTCTCGGTCTTAGGCTCTTGGGTTCCATCGGGAAGACGTTCACTTCGCTGAACGTGGAAATGTATGAGCACCAAGATCAAGAATTATACGAAGGGACACTGACCGTAAAAAAGGCAACTTTCTCACCGCCTCCTTGAACTCAGGAAAAGAGTCCAGGTTGGCATACATCTTGATCAGACTAACCATGAAGAAATCATACATGAGATCCAGTCTGCGACCCTGCGTCTTCGGCGAGCGCCAGATATGAAATGTGTGGTATATCTAATTCAGTAATGCATTCATGATTGGTATAAGCAACGAGAAAGGACACGTACAATGGTTACTAGAGTCCCCACTACGCCTTTTGCAAGACCATTGTGGTCTCGCACTTCTTCAGGGAATAGATCCGCAATTCTCCCATTCTCATTCTTGTTCTGGGCCAAGCCGACTATGGGTCGCAACAGCGATATCCATACGAGTTCTTGGAACATATGAAGTTGTACCAATTCTGCTATACCTTGTTGCACCTAAGTCACAGTAAGCCATTAAATCAGATCATATCGGTCTCCAGCTTCTCACAAGTTCCTGATTGTCCGAGTCGAGAAGCGCAAAAAAGTAATTGACTCTTTCCCTCTTCTCCTGATTTTGACTTCCTGAAAATCCTGTTGGTGTATGAATGCATCCCCGGACGACTTTGCGCATTTCCGAAGTTCTGTTCACAATGTGATTCGAGAACTGTTCATGACACTTAGGAGTGAGCAAAGGTAAAAGCAAAGCACGAGAAAGCGTACAGTGAAGCGAAGGGTCTCCCATCCAATGGTCGCCGGTTCCATGCCACCCTTTGCCACTGTCACTGATCATACTGTTAGATAGTGACTCATAGAATCAAATGAAGGTGCTCACCCAGTTTATCATGTAATTCATCCATTGTTGTTCCGCTGAGAGCTATCGCCGTTAAAAAGCAGCTGGTGATGAGCCGTCTGTATTGTTGGTCAGGAAGGTTCCAAGGGTTTTGTAGTCCGACCCAAAGGCTTCCAAGGTAGAGACACTTCGTCAAAAATATTGGGCGGTTCCAGGGAGTGTTTTTCAGCGCTTCGGTGATGGCTGTTCGGAAGTTGGGATGGAGGGGTGCATCCAAATCTTTCCAGATGAGCCGGTCGTGGAGCACAATCGTTGGAGTAATGGGGGTCTGGTCGGCATATACAACAGACGCATTGAAAGCCATTTGGTAATCGTCGAACATCGAATTGTCCGGGTACCCTTCAGACCCAGTGATAGTTGTGAAATCGTAATCAAAATTGGCAGACCAACTTTGTCCGTTTGATGAAGTGTCAGGTAAAAAAAGAGCAGATCCACACTTGCCATCAGCAGGAGGGGGAGAGATTGACTGTTGAAAAGGCGCAGCCTCGAGTTCGTATGCGACAGGTGCGGCCTCGATGGCAGCGAGAGTAACAGGAGGCGGGAATTGATATATAAGAGGTGTAACCTCAATGGCAGCGCGAGGGGCAGGGAACATGAAGTCATGTAGAGGTGCAGCCTCAATAGCGGCTAGAGACCCACGGGGCGAGAATCCATCTGGGAATGGTGCCACATGGAAGCGGATGGAATGATCATGCAACATGCTAAGCTATGGATGGGCAAAATCATTCCTCAGCAACACTGCACCGGATGTAATACTCACGAGCCACACAATACTAGTAAACCCTAGTACATTTGGGCGACAAAGTCCGCTGTCGATTGATCGCATGAAATCGCCGTCACCGGTCTATGTTCATTATTTCAATGATGAAATTCCATTAAAACTAAACTCTCACCATCTTCTTTTCATACACTTCAGAAAACACTATTCTATCGTGGTTTGGAATAGCCAGTATGCCTACGATATCCAGAATGTCGTGTTCTGAATTTATCAATGCATGCTCTGCACGCTGCAAACCAATACAATGAGATAAAATAGATGATATTGGGCAAAACTCACGTAGAGGGGCGAGAGCTCCCGGTTGGCATTCGCAAGATATCCTATCAGACGAAAGGACTCTGTGAATCCGACAAATGGGTGCTACAGTCACAAGTTAGAGAAAAGTAATGTTTGATGGTCGACGTCGAACCGGATCACTCTGAACGAAAAAAAACACATCAGCAATTGATACATACGGCACAGAGTATCATACATACCGGCAGCTGAAGAATCCTCAGGACTTTGTTCTTGTCTGGAAAGTACAGGTAAGTTGGAGAGGGATGGGCTATTTTTGGTCAACAATTAATGAGTTTCAAATTGTTTCGATCCCATTAAACTCACATTGCATTCTTATTTTTGAAAGGGTAGCAAGAGGGGAAAGTTAGAGACGGAGAGAGTGAAGAGACAAGTCAATACTAAATAGCGAAGCACTAATTTGCGATGGCCAGAGATTGGCGATCATGATAGCTATGGATCGGGGATGGCCAGAGATCAGCGGTGACGATGACCAGTGGCCATGGCCAGAATAGAGACACAACAGGTGGTGATGGCCAGTTGGAAATGACTGAATAGTCTGGCAGGAACAGCCGCTCCTTGTACGAGTAATTAGTAAAATCATCAATGAAAATATGCCCATCAGGGACTAGTGACTATTGAGCAGTGATTACACGCGTCTAGCGCCAGCAACTGGGGCACTGGATGCAACACTAATTTTCGTAATTGAACACATGTCTCGTAAACATGTTGTCTAGCGCCTGGATGAGGGACTCTGTGCTTCCATTGCGTTCCTGGTCGAAGAAACTCAATTCCTCAACGCCAACGTGATTGTCTTCTTCGTCCTCTTCATATTCGTCGTTTGCAGGATATCTCCAGCTGGTGGTTTCTTCCCTTTCCGAACTCTCATCATTTGGCTGCCGTGTCGTATGTGGAATAGTGTGAGTTGCCTGTTGGGTCGAGGAAGAACATTCCATTCTGGCCTCATGAGAATACACATGCCCTACTCCAAGGCCATAATGAAAACGCATAAGGGCATCGCAATCCACAAAGCTTATTACATGTACATTAAGAATAGATACAACCAAAATAGGCAGAAAAACACACCTGTTGACATAGTATTCACGCCAATCTTGATGGTCCCCCGCAATAGGAGAAATTCCGCGATCACTGGGGTTGCGCTGACCCCAGGAGAAAGCGGGTATGATGTGACATGCCCTGAGCACCATTCCTGGGTCTACAAACCCGAATGCATCTGGATTCTCCAGAGGGATGAAGCGAACACGGCCTAAAGTGTGTGTGCTTCAAGTGTGACTTTGTACTGATTTGTACCACCAAACAAAGAGAAACTCAAACCGGCGGGATTCATACACGTTTCCTACACGAATAACATTGACATGGTGTATTCCGAGGACTTTAGCGTAACAATAGTCGCCATCGTCGTTGCGATCATCTTGATGTCTAAGGAGCATGATGTTACAGTGAGGCGTCCTCGGATTCACAACGTCTTGAGCCCTGCGAACATCATACATCGTGTAATTGAACCTTACGAGATTGTGGTGGTAAATTCGATTCCGCTTGAAGAGGATTGAATCACGTCCTTGGGTGAGATTAGCTGATTGCTCCCCTGGTTCGAGACGACCCAAAAGGTGGTCTTTCAAGCGAGGTAAGAAGTCCTGAGTCAAATGTCAGAATGGTAATGATGAAGCAAAATGCATATTACCTGCATAACGGGATCTTTTGAGTGGCTGCGGAGGTAGTGACCGAATTCATCATGGACTTTCTCGCTTTGGCCGATGTGATGGTGTACATGGGGGTCGCTCGTCGAGTCGTCTACCTCTGCATGAGAGGTTTGCAGTTGGTGCCGTTGCCTGATACGACGTAAACGTGTCTGGCGACACTCGATCTGAGTCAGCTGACGCACAAAAGCCCTTCGATCAGTGCGACGGTATCTGCCTTTCGGCGTACGATGCTCCAATTCCCCCTGATGAAAATTGATTTGAAGCAGAGACAGCAGCTGACTACAACTCACTGGTTCAGTACTATAGGAATCCGTTGTTCCAAAGTGATGTATGGAGGCCACGTAATCACCAAGTGCATGAAATTTGTAAGTTTGAAGGTTGAATGACTTCTTTCTCCGTGCCAGCTGCTTTGGTGGAGGTGCATCCTGTGACTGTTCCAAAGTTGTGTTTTGCTTGCCTTTCGCATTGGCACCCGTCCTGGGCGCAGTCCCTCGAACGACATCATTCGTCTTGCCTGTCTCTCCCCATTTAGCTGCTTCCTTCGCCCGACGGTGAGATCGCGCATCAACTTTTCGATTGAGCTCTTGCGTGTGGTAAGCAGCACATACTTTAGTCTTGAACTGACAAAATTGTTCGCCAAGATCGGTTGTTTGTTGGTCGAGTATCTCTAATGTCAGGTCAGAATGCATACGGAGTTTTGCAAGTCCGTGCCAGTGTGCCATTATGAACAAGAGATCCAAAACGATTTTATTGTGCTGGTCGGGGAGAAGACCATCAAAAACCGGGATGGAACACTTGGGTAAAATTAGTTCATGAAACCCTACATAAATTGTTCTAAAGACACACTTGTAGGATATCTTCAAAATTGCGAGCAGCCATGTTCGACATTTCAGAAGTGTTAGCGGAAAAACGCCTAATGGTCGCTCGTCCGAATGGGGGGACCTGCCTATACCTGTCAAATTGAACTAGTTGTTAGCTTGCTGAGTCGTTGTCATAATAAATAATTGACTGGCCTCTTGTCAAGTTCATGAACTAGATCCTTGTCCAGGGCGCAAAGAATTCTCAATAAGTGAACTAAAAGCATACGCCAGACCCCAAGCTCGACCTCGTGCAGAAGGTCAACAACAAGTGCAATGAAAACATTGAATCCTAAGTGACCAAGGCAGTCGGAAAATGTGTTCTAATCAAGAGTTGGTAAAGCGAGAAAATAAGCTAACAATCATACTCACAGAGGTCGGTACCCAAGAGTCAGACTTGAGATGTGACTCGACTGATGTACTGTCAACACCATAATTCTTCTGGTAGATCAAGCCGCGTGCCGTCGAAACAAGCTGACTCCTCAAGGTATCGGAGCGCGTGAGAGTTGCACGCTGTTGCCTATCACGGCTCATTCCTAGATTTTGAAGTCGTCCCATTGGTACTAGACATCGCGGGCAAGGACAACCCCCCAGTTGCCGAATGGTTGCGACGAGAACTCTGACTTTCGTCAGTTGCGATATCTTCCAGATCATGATTAATAACTTACTTCTCGGGATAGTCAGCAGAATAGGTAAATATTCGCGGATAAAATCTCTGTTTGACGCCATCACAACAGTTGATCACAATCCCGTGTTTATATGCTTCTAAAAACTCGGGATCAAGTAAAACCCTCCACTGAGTTTGGAATAGTTCACGGTGGCAATGAGTTGCACATTCGCGACCAACTCCCTTGCCCTGGGTGTAAGTACCCGCGAAATCTTTGAATGAATCTGGAAGCTGTCAGACGTCAACTACGATGTAGAAGAGGATGATTGAATGACAATCATACCTTTTGAAAGTACGCGACATGATTCGCCAGATTGCAAGATGGTTGACACCGGCGGTACTTCGATTCATTCCCAAAATACATGTATACCGGCCATAATTTTGTGTTACCGATCGCTGTAAGGTGTGTAGCATCTAACCAAAACATAAGTGCGACGACAACGCGGGGTAAATTGCATTCCGGCTCTCCAGGAGACTGCTGAATTTTGCGGTGCGCATCCATGAAGGCCGGTGACGTGTATAATTCTCCTTGAATGTTGACTTCGTGTTGAAGATGGGGGGCGCTCCATCGCAGCTGGTAAGGTTCATAATGGAAGAGTTCATCGTCCTGAGCATTTGAGAGCTTTTCGTGAATAACGGAAACCAGAGGTCGATGATAAAGATCTGCGGCAACATAAGGTCGAGTGCCCGGCTGAGCTGTAGTTCAAGAAAATGGAACTTCAATTGTCACTTGCGTTTTACGCCAACCCGCGTCTTCATCTTCCCATTCCTCTCCTTCGTCATCAACACTCGCACCTAATTGCGAGTTGATCTTATCCCAGTGCATATTTCGGACATCGTCAGGATCAAAATCCGGACATCCGACTATGTCAATCAGTTCCTTAAAGCTCTGCAGGGATTTTTGTACACTGCCATTCCAGTACCAATGGCCGAGCTCAAATGAGGATTGATTTGGATATGGATAAAACAAGGCATCATGAGGCTTGGCAGGGACAGGCAGTTCTGCCGGAGTGCTAGCCGGGATAGAACTGATGTCTTGCAGGTTTATAACCTCTTCTGGGTCATGGGACGGGGGAGTCGCGGAGAAGAATTGGCGTACAAGGCCGAAAACATTTCTCGCTGTGCGGAAAGGAGGAGCTGGCAGTGACGTACAAGCCCTGGTAGATGCATCGATAAAATTTTCAGGTAGGTTTGACTCCGGCTGTTGGCCAGGAAGACTGGAAGGAACACTCGGAGGAGGCTGCGGAAGCACATCATCATACTGCCTATAACGCAGCGGCATAGGAACGCCAGTGCGTCGGCTCCTACACTGGGCTAGCGATAATCCCTCGTCTATTTCCGTAGGCGGATGAGATGCAGAAGTGGGTGCACCGTGCGATGAAGAATCACACAACGCTTCCTCGCCGGGGTGCGTCGCTGATGGAGTTGAGCGAACAATAGAAGTCTCTACCATCAACGTCTCATTGACCTGGTCATAGGACGACGACGGTACTAGCGGGCGGTCTAATAGCGTACTTGAAGTATATCTGCCACTGCTATCTGTCACGAGTTCCAAATACAAACCATTATTCGTTCCTTAATTCTAAGTCCTTTAAGCGCCCAGTCACAGCGCCTGTTCCTAAGAATATGTTTACTGTTGAAGAAGTTCCTATTATTGCGTCTATTGTAGAATTACCAGAGTCACGTGATCAATCGGACAATGCCGAAGATGTTGACGTCATGCCTCGCGACACTCTTGGAATGTTCCAGAGTCTTACTGCGGCTGCGGCACATGTTATGACATCATAGTTATATATAGAATCGTACGATACCTCTAATTATTCTGATTGGTTAGTTAGTTCATACTCAGTTTCAGTCTCAGTTTCAATATGTGTATATAGGTAGCTCGTCGTAGTCAGTAGTTCTTTAGTTCAAACCTCTTGTATCTCCAAGTGAGCAATACCAAGACGTACCTGCTGCCTACTTCCTCTGCGTGATTATTCTTTGTTTGAGTCCTAGTCTCTGCCCAGCGTTAATTCGTTATTGGGTTGTGACATTAGGTTTGAACTATAGGAGACTCCGACTCTTGCGTTACACTCTCGCATCTCTT